AACTGGAAGGAAAGGAGTGAAACTTTGGTTGGGATATAAAAACAAACAAACGAATGAATGAATAAGGACAGCAAAAAGGATCCAAATTTCGAAAACAGTGTAATACTATGTTCCTCCTGGGGCCTGTGACCTCCCGACCCATGGGTTCTTGACCAGATTTACAGAACTAGGTAAGCATTTTCTCTCACAGAACAGGCCTTAATCCAATCAGAAAATGGTTGATTATTCCCACAACATTTGTGCCGCTGTTTCACTGGCGATAGTGTCTTGCCATGCTGATGAGCAGTGTACCTCATCACATTCACAGCTGGCTAGGACTGTTGAGAACTTTTTGCTGTCAGCACCCAACATGACACCTCCTGGTACCATGACTGCTAGTCAGCCAGAAGGAAGCTTCCTACTTGGTACCAACTTAATTCCTCCATGTTCTGTGACTATATTGTGGAGTATCTTCAGCAATAAGGTTTTACCATTGCGTTCTGGTGTGGAACCAAGAGCAATGGCAGCAGCCTGCATTATTTTGAGGGTATCTGGCACACCTATGACCAACAACTTCAGGGGAGGTAAATTTTAAAGATGTTTTATGTTTGTGCTGCAGAAATAGAATAGAAATTCGGACTATACACTGGGATAAAATATTTTTCAACCACATATTTAGCAAATTATTAATACACAGAGTATTTAAAGAATTCAAAACACTCCCTTAAATACTTCAGTTGGAAGACACATTTTACTGAAGAGGCTATAGGAATAGCAAATAAACATGTGGAATGATTTTTAACATTACTAGTCATTAGGAAAACCAAAATGAATTCCATGAATTTTAATGATTGAGCACTTGCTTAGCATAAGTATAACCCCAGATTCAATACTCAGCATAGCAATATAATTAAAGCCTGGAATAATAGAATAATAAATATACATATATCTTGATATTATTAAACATTGGGAAGATCTTTCATACATTGTTAAGAAGAATATAAAATGAAAATTTATATACATACAAAAAGTTATATATGACTTTTTATAGGAATATTGTTACATGAAGGGGCCTGCTTGTTGGGGTATCTGTCCCGCCCAGTACCCCACAGCTGGCAAGCCCCAAAGAAAATCACACAGAGGACTCCATAAGATTATAAACTGATTGGCCCATTAGTTCAGGCTACTTATTAGCTCTTATAACTTATATTAGCCCATTATTCTGAACTATTTTTGCCATATGGCTTGGTACCTTTTTTCACCTGGCAGATCACATGTTGCTTCTTCTTCGGTGGTGTGGGTCTGGACTACGAGGAATCCCTCCTTCCCAGAATTCTCCTGTTCTCATTGCATCACCTCTACTTCCTGTCTGGTTTTCCCGCCTATACTTTCTGCCTGGCCAATCAGTGTTTATTTAAAACATGATTGACAGAAAGCAGCCTTTTTGTCCTACTGACAGTGTCCTTTGCTTTACAGAAGCTTCCCAGTTTCAGTAGATCCCATTTATTCATTGTTTCTCTTATTGGCTGTGCTGCTGGGGTCCTACTTAGGAAGAGGCCTCCTGTGCCTAAATCTTGTAGACTACTTCCCACTTTCTCTTCTATCAGGTTCAAAGTGGACGGATTAATGTTGATGTCTTTAATCCATTTGGACTTGATTTTTGTGCATGGTGATAGATATGGATCTACTTTCATTTTTTTACAGGTTGACATCCAGTTATGCCAGCACCATTTGTTAAAGATGCTTTCCTTCTTCCATTGTATACCTTTAGCTCCCTTGTCAAAAATTAGGTGTTCATAAGTTTGTGGGTTAATATCTGGGTCTTCTATTCGATTCCATAGGTCAACTTCTCTGTTCTTATGCCAATACCAAGCTGTTTTCAATACTGTAGCTCTATAATAGAGTTTGAAGTCAGGGATGGTAATGCCTCCAGAAGTTCTTTTATTGTATAAGATTGTTTTGGCTATCCTGGGTTTTTTGTTTTGCCATATAAACTTGATTATTGTTCTCTCAAGGTCTGTGAAGAAGTTTGATGGGATTTTGATGGGGATTGCAATGAATCTATAGATTGCTTTTGGTAGAATTGCCATTTTTACTATGTTGATTCTCCCAATCCAAGAGCAGGGGAGGTCTTTCCATTTTCTGGTTTCCTCCTAAATTTCTTTCTTCAAAGACTTAAAGTTTTTGTCAAATAGGTCATTCACTTCCTTGGTTAGAGTAACCCCAAGATATTTTATGCTATTTGTGGCTATCATGAAAGGTGATGTTTCTCTGATTTCCCTCTCTGCTTCTTTATCCTTTGTGTATAGGAGGAGAAGATCTTCACCAACCCCTCATCAGACAAAGGTCTGATCTCCAAAATATACAAAGAACTCAAGAAACTAGGCACTAAAACTCTAATTAACCCAATTAAAAAATGGGGTACTGAACTTAACAGAGAATTCACAACAGATGAACTTCGAATGGCCAGAAGACACTTAAGGTCATGCTCAACATCCTTAGCGATCAGGGAAATGCAAATCAAAACCACTTTGAGATACCATCTTACACCTGTCAGAATAGCTAAAGTCAAAAACACCAACGATAGCCTATGCTGGAGAGGATATGGGGTGAGGGGAACACTCATCCATTGTTGGTGGGAATGCAAACTCGTGCAGCCACTGTGGAAATCAGTGTGGCGGTTTCTCAGGAAACTGGGAGTCAACCTCCCTCAGGACCCAGCAATTCCACTCTTGGGAATATACCCTAAAGATTCCCTAACATACTACAAAAGCATTTGTTCTATTATGTTCATAGCAGCACTATTTGTAATAGCCAGAACCTGGAAACAGCCTAGGTGCCCCTCAATAGAAGAATGGTTAAAAAAGGTGTGGAACATATACACATTAGAGTTTTACTCAGCGGTAAAAAACAATGACATCTTGAATTTTGCATGCAAATGGATGGAAATAGAAAACGCTTTACTGAGTGAGGTAAGCCAGACCCAAAAAGAGGAACACGGTATGTATTCACTCATAAGTGGATTCTAACCATAATTAAAGGTCTTTGAGCCTATTATTCGTGATCCTAGAGAAGCTAAATAAGAAGATGAACCTGATGAAGATTATTTAGCTATCCACCAGGAGGTAGGAAATAGACAAGAGCCCCAGGTAACCTCGGGTGCATGGGGGGGGTGGGAGGGTCGATGAAAGGGGAGAGGGTTAGAGAGAAGGGAGTAGGGGAGGAACAGGGAAAGCTTGGTGGCCGGGGATGGGGGGGGGAGGAAGGATGAATATGGGATCAGGGAAGAATATATTTCAACTAAGAGAGTCATTTTCGGGTTTACAGGAGACTTGATTATATATGGGATCCCAGGTCCAAGGAGAGATCCCCCAGATTGTTCTCTGGACAGAGGAGAGGGTGCCTGAATCGGCCGTGGCCCATAACCATACTGATGAATATTTTGCTTATCACCATAGATCCTTCATCTGGCGAAGGACGGCGATACAGACGGAGACCCACATTGGAGCACCGGACTGAGCCCCCCGAGGTCCAAATGAGGAGCAGAAGGAGGAAGAACATGAAAAACGAAATCAGTACTGCGAGGGATGCTATCACCCACTGATACAAGGGAACGGATCTGATGAGAGTTTACCAAGGCCAGTTGGACTGGGACTGAACGAGGACGTGATCTAACCAGATTGTCGGAACTTGGCCGGATTCTCTGACTGTGGCTGGCCCGAAGTCTTTCTGAAAAGCCATTGACTATGACACTGGGACCTGTTTCCTCTACATATACTGGATTTTGGGGATCCAGTCTGTTTGGACACTCACCTTCCTGGACCTGGAGGGAGGGGGAAGGAACTGGAACTTCCCACAGGGCAGGAAACCCTGACTGCCCTGGGGGATGAAGAGGGAGGAGGAGGGGGAGTGGGGGGAGTGGGAGGGTGTTGGGAGGGGGGGCGGAAATGGAAACTTTTATAATTTAATAAAATTTACTTAAAAAAAAAACATGATTGACAGATTACAGACAATTCTCCTGCACCAGAATATTATATGTTATAACCAAAATCTGGGCACAAAACATGTCGAGTTTTTTCATGTGTGTGTGTGTGTGTGTGTGTGTGTGTGTTTGTGTTATGCTAAGTAGCCCTGACTGGCCTGGTTCTACTTGCAAATCCCAAGTTAACATTAAACTCACAGCAATCTCTATACCTCAACCTCTCGAGTGCTAGAATTACAAGCTTGCTCCACCACACTTTGCCTACTGTTTTTGATATTGTTCTATAATATTTTAAGTCATAATTCACAAGAAACAGGTGAAGAATAGACAAAATCTGTCTCTGAAATTTGAAAATTTTTGTAACTCTTTAGTTATTTTTGATCTTGATAAAATGTATTTGAGCTAGCCATGGTTTCTTACACTGTAATCTTAGCACTGAGAGGATGAATGCAAAAGGATTGCTTCTAGTTTGAGGTAGCAGAGGCTATGTTGTGAGCTCCTGGCCAGCCTGGATAATAGGATGGGATTCTTTCTTTAAGACAGCACAAAAGCAACAAAAATTAAGACTAATGATATAGTTCAGTAATAGCATATTTGGCTCTCTGAGTTTGGTTTCAAATATTGATTTAAAAAATAACCATCTTTAATTGGTTCTAAATCTAATAAAACAAAAATTTAGACTACTAGAAGCAGGTGTTTTGAAGCCAAAGATATACAGAGAGAGAACATGAGCGACAGTTGTAGCTGTAAGCCTAATTTCATTTACGCATTTTAAGGATTTGGTGAGTTATTTTCCTTAGAAATAAAAATAAAAAACAGGAACAAAAGCAGTGTTTAATAGCCTGTATGTCATTTGAAAGTCTAAATATTTAAATAGATGCTCTCTTTTGCTAAAAACAACTTTTTAGTCTTGCTTAGTGCCATAAAAGTTTTAGTGTTTCATGTGTTTATGTGTCCTTACTAATCATATTTTACGCTTCATTTGTTTGTTATTCTAATGCCTGGGTTGTCTAAAATTGCTTATATTTCTCTTACAAAGACTTGGATTGGGAATCGAAGAAGAAAATATCGTTTAATGGGAATTGAAGTTCCACCTCCAAGAGGAGGCCCTGCTGATTTTTCTGAGCAGCCTGAGTCTGGTTCTTTGTCTGCACTCACACCAGGAGAGGAAGCTGGGCATGAAGTAGGAGAGGATAATGACAGAAATGATGAAGTGTCCATCTGTTTGTCCGAAGCAAGCTCTCAAGGTACTTTACTGCACCTCCTAATAACAGCCTTTGGAAATTTCTTGTATTTTTTACTTGCTTTTCAGTGTACTGCACTTTAAGTAAAGAGTGTTCAGAACATATGACCAAGCATTTGAAAAGAAACAGATTTGTTTTTAATGCTAAATGTAAAAAGTCTTCCATATCAAGTCATCACAAAGAACATTCATCTATCACAGTAGTGATGCCCTACTTTTAAAAATGTTAGCTATTACAACAGTTCTTATACTAGAATCAGGTAAATGATTACATTTGGAATTTTAGTCAGCTAGGCGAGAGCTTCCAAATATTTCAACAAGAGAAAGTATGGTATATTAAAATGAATAATAGGCTTGTGAGCTGAGATACTAGTTGCCACTCAGTGCTTTTCCCCTAGCAAACTGTACAGTTTCAGGCAAAGCATTTAACTCTGCTCATTAGACTTCCCCTCTTTGCCTATTAAAGGAAGTTAAACAGGCTCATCTTTGTATTACCTCTCAATGATTCCCTGAATAAGTCTGCGTGCTAGAGCCAAAATTAATACCATGTAACCAAGAGGAATATTTGATTTGACTTCGAGCACGAAATAAATAGTCCTAGTATCATATTTATGTTATATATCATAAAAATATTCTTCATAGACATAAAATCCAGTCATTTTTAGTAAAACTTTTAGGTCTATACCGTTAAAATTTTATTTTAGATCTTTTTGTAATCACCCAAGGAAACTTCCCATGTTGACTCACTTGCCTCTTCTGTCCTCAGCATCAAGCATACTAACCTGCTTTCTGTCTATGTAAGTGTGTCTTTCTTATGCACTTTATCGGAATCTGATAATAAAAACTATAGTCCTTTTGTATCTGTGCTTCAGAAATTAAGAACCTCTCATTTGCTTGTTACTTTTTTTTTCACTGATATCAGTTAAGTATATTGACAAATTATTTTCTGGTTTATTTATATGTTTTGTGTATATACATGTGTTTGATGTGTATAGCTACACACAAAACCTGGAGATCTCTTTTCTGGTTCTAGCTTGCTTGTTCTGGGAATTCCCTGTCTCCATCTGATCCACTGGACTAGAATTACTGGTGGGAAACCATTCCCACTCCACTCCATATGGTTATATGGTGACTGTCACCACTTATGGTTATGTGGGAAGTGCTTTAACCCTGGAGCCATCTCACCAACCCCTTCTTTATTTCCTTGATTTTTAACTTTTTATGATTCATCTACACACACACACACACACACACACACACATATAGTCGTATTCATATGCATGGAGAGAGAGCTAGAGAGAGAAAAACTGGCTTGAACTCACTGTGCTGCAAAAGACTGGTCTTGGACTTCCCAACCCTTACCTCCCAGGAGCTTGGATGAGTAGTATGTGCTTTGCTGCCTACCGATACTAGTCATCTTCAAGAGTGGCATTATTTGCATGATATAAAATTTTATGTTAGGATAATAACTGATTATACAAAATCATTTTTAACAATTAGATCAAGAATAAATTTGGCAGCAGCCATAACTTTTGTGCTCTTACTGAGTCTTTCTGTGAGCTCTGGAATGTTAGTTAACCAGTTACTTAAGATACCTCAGAAGCTCCAATGTAGAGAGGAGGGAGACTACAAAACATTATCACCCCAGGTTGAAGAGCGAGGCGAACAACTCCTCTTTTTTGGTATTAGGAGAATAATCAAAGTATTATTAATAGAATAGTTTTATCAATGTGACATTATGTAGGAAAGCATGATGTATTATTGAAGTGATGAAGTTTGGATTTGATTATTTTTTTAAAATATTTATTTATTATGTATACAATATTCTGTCTGCATGTATGCCTGAAGGCCAGAAGAGGGCACCAGACCTCATTACAGATGGTTGTGAGCCACCATGTGATTGCTGGGAATTGAACTCAGGACTTTAGGAAGAGCAGGCAATGCTCTTAACCTCTGAGCCATCTCTCCAGCCCCTGGATTTGATTATTTTGAATTAGAATTTGTCATTGCTCCTAATCCTCCTATCATGACCTCCTGATTCTGATTTTTCATGGTAAAATTTTGGGGTATAATTTTTACATTGTCAGACATAGCAATATTTTCCCTTGTGGTTTCCGCCTTTGCATTCCTAACTAAAGTCTCTTCTTGCCGTACAGTTGTGAAAATAAGCTCATATATTCGCTTCTGGCATCCTTATGGCTTTAGTTTAACAATTTTATATTAATTTCACTGAGAATTTACTTTGCCTTAAGATGTGTGAGGAAAATACCTAATTTTACTTTTCCAAATAGTTAAGCAACTGTTGTACACTATTTGTTGCATAATTCATTCTTTGTCCAGTTAATTACAGTACAGCTTTCAAAAATTAATTATGTATTTATACATATGCATATTCAGGTACACATACATAAACACATGGGAAAATTCTGGACTTCTTATTATGTTACATTAATCCGTTTTTATCTGTGGCTTTATAAAATCTCTTACTATCTGGTAAAGTTTTTATTTTAGCTTTAAATGAACTATAAAATTCTTTAGCTATATCTTCTCACAATTTCCTCCTCAAAATGTGTGCAAAATTTTTACTCCCATCACATTAAATAGACAGACTATCATTAGAAAGATTAATTCAGTTTGCAGTTCTGAAGCTTAGAAAATAGCAGCAAATACACAGAGACCTGTTGGGTAATATGGGTCTGGAACTCAAAAGAGAGCTTTAAGTAGGGAGAAGAAACAGCAGTATGCCAAACGGAGGCCAATTAATACTTCACCACAGAAGCAGAGTTTTGATTGAGAAAATTAAAATCCCAAAACAAAACAAGACAAGACAATGGAGAAAGACTGTATGTTGCGAAATATTTACTTTTTTGGGCCCCAGGGGGAAAAATAGCCACTGAAAGAACCTTCAGGGAGAACAGAGCTGGATAGTGTGTCATTACTAAAACCAAGGAAAGAAAGAGATTTCAGAAATAAGAGGGGTCATTATCTCAATGATATCATAGAAATTGAGTAGAAAGGAGAGGCTATTGAATCAGTCTTTAAGAGGTTCTTTGCAAAAGCAATTAATTGCATGCCCAGGGGGCAGGCAGGCAAATTGTAATGAGTAGAATAATGATAGGGATAGAGAAACTGTCACTGTTGAGAGGACAGCGAATTTTAAGTCCAGGTGTTTGGAAGATTGTCAAATGTGAATATTCTCTGACTCTTTACCTCTTTCTCTCTCTTTCTCTCCTCCCCTCTCCCTTCTCCCTCCTTCTTCCTCTCCTCCCCTCCTCCATCTTTCTCACCTAAGGCTGCAAATGATAGCAGAACCTAGAGGAGCAGGAACTGACGCAGGCTTAAAAATCATTAAGAAAAAAAATGTTGTATGTTTTCTAAGGTCATTTGTTCTCATATGGTTGGTCTAGTAAATAAGTGTTTGTCTTCTGTTAGTCTTTCCAAAATTCTATGTGCCTGGAGATTCTTGCTTAGCAGTAATTACATGATAGGATCTTTAGGAGCCTAATGCCCAACAGCTATTTGAAGTGAGTAAGGAAGGTTTGTATGTTTCTCTGAAAAGGCAGAGTTGCTGTGAGGACATACTCTGAGGAATCAAAAGGCATAGGCTCCTGAGTGCAGAGTTTCACTCCCAACTGCCTGAAACAGAATTTTAGAAAATAAGCACTTAATGGGAAAACAGTGCATGTTAATTTTAACGTCTGTGTTAATGGTCTGCATTTAATAGACCACTGTTCCTCTACTGGCATCCTTTGTCATATAATAGTATGCTCTATTAGCAGTCTAGATAGCTGGCATAGTAATCAAGACCTAATGAGAAAAAGAAGAAAAAGAATTTAATGTATGAATCAAAAAACACAGGATGAGACATAAACAATTGCCTAGAATTTCCCCCAGTGGCTTATTTTTCACAACTGCACGGTAACCTTTTCATTCTAAATCAGAAATTGCAGCAGAAAAGCATTTTCAAAGACTGGAAGGAGCCCCTTTGGTGCTGTTTTCTACTAGGCCTGTACAATTTCTTCATTTCGCTGATGGAGAATACTAATCTGACTTGAGTTGGTTATGTGATCTTTTTGTAAGAACTAATTGTATCGTCTGGCTGAGACTAATGCCCTATCTCTAAAATGCACTGCCCTATATTCTCTTCCAGTTTGGGAAAATGTAGCTAGATTATGTTTACATTAAGATTTGCATTGATGTCTTCTTAGAGTTATAAAGATAATTCAAAGACCTAACAACTAGAATTAATAGTCCTTGGACACAACTGTTAATTTAACAGGATTAGAGTCTTTTAAATGTCTAAAAGGGGAAAGACTTTTAAATTGGTTCTTGCATATTATAATACATGTTAAACTAAACACATGAAAAAAAACATGCAGTTTCTTTCAGTGTCTTTACAAGAAAAAAAATATATTCCTTCAAATTGTGAGAAGGGGCTAGCTTTGCCAGCTAATCAAAAGTGTCCATGATTCCTTAACAGTTTCACATGCAATCCTTTGTTTCTGAGCAAGGCTATCCGTCCCTGACACAGACCTTCTGACTCACCTCAGTTCTACCTTGCGCTTGACCTTCCCTTCCCCATTTCTTTTCTGTTTTCCTGGGAGAGAGTGAAGCTAGGCATGGGTGGACTGATCTGGCAAGGAAGGAAAAGCTACATGGCTCCACCCCCTACAACTTGGAAACTTCAGCAAAAATAATACTTGGCTAACTCACCTCCTTCATTTTAAGTTTGGTTTCTACCAAAATACATTTATTATTGAGAAATTTAAAGATTTTTCACTATCCTGAGAGGCAAATGGATTAAAGTATAGAAATAATTGATACTTACAACATTACATTGGTAGAAGTACCTCTTTTTCAACTGTATCTTAATATGTGGAGTGTGTATGGTGCATGCATTAAAAGATAACTCCCCATGGTTTACTTAGTGTGAGCACCACATAGGGTGCCCTCTAGAGTTTCACTGATTAACTCTATTTTTTATTTTTCAATTAGCAAAGCTTGTTTTGAGGAATTACCAAGACACATTGATAGTGTCTGGATCTTAAACGTTCGCTGATGCTGCAAGTATCTATGTGCAAAAGAAAGCATCCCTATTCAGTTTATCACTCAGCACCTCCTTATTTCAGAAGCCTCAAAATAGCTTTTATTTAAATTTCCTAAAATAATCAAACCATGCATAAATAAGCTGTCAGTGAACCAGAACTGTATATAAAGTTATGAGTAAATCTGAAGAAGTGTATAGCAATCCTGTAAGGAATAGTACCAGTAATGATCTTGTTGATGAGCAATATAACCCTTCTTCTGAGACCACTATATCTAATATCAGATCTGCAGCTAAAGCTAATGAAAAATTTCCCTCTTTCCATTTCATTGCACCACTGATTATGTAGGACTCGAAATGTCTGTGACTTGAAATGTCTAAATAATGACTAGGTAAACTTTTCTTTGTCTAGGATTCATTGTTTTTATAAAAATTTAAATTGACTTGCCTTACATTTCACCAATAAATGAGATCATGCCATTTTTTTCTTTCTGTCTGTCTGGCTTATTTCACTTAGTTAACATCCCCTGGGTTCATCTGTGTTGCAGCAAATAGCAGGGCAAAGAAGGTCAAATAAATCAAATATAATACAACAGTGGATTTTTGAATGGGGAGGGGAGAACAGGGAGATCCAGCTCAGAGGGGACAAACTTGCAGTGTGTGTGATGAATAAGAGCGTGAAGACCATGGTTAATGATAACGCATTGTGCATTCAGGATTTTCAGTATGTGATGATAGCAGCTGTTGCCTGGGGGATGGGAAACTGTGAAATGATAAATATGTTCATTTGTTTTATTGTAGTGGTCTTTCTGCTATATAAATGTATATTGTGTTATATGCCACAAGTACATACAATAAAATTTAATTTAAAATGTATGGTAGAGATAAGAAAGTTAAATTGAATTTATACAGAACATTGTATTAAGATTCTGCTGAAGTTTTCTTGGATAGCATACACGTGAATTCTCATAAGCAATTCTCTTAAGTGAATTTCTCCTAATCCTTCTCCATGTTTATACGTGGGAATGAATGGGCTAGGAAAATCTTAGGAGGGCTGATAAAAATTTTTGTTCTGCTTTATAAATTGAATTAAAATGTTGTTTACCTAAGATCTGAGGAATTTTACTAGTATTTATCCAAATAATCTCCATGAAATTGCTGTGAAGAGAAGAGAGACCCAGAGATAAGCACTGCTACTCTGTTTTGAGAGCGTCTGGGAGAGGGTACTATAAAATAAAGAGGTTAAGGGGTAATGTATGCACTCACCCGGGCCTTGAAGCAGACACTTTCCGTAGCTCATCACAAAGAGTTTTTATTAGACTAGATCTCTGAATTAATATCATTTCTCTCTATTTTATTATTGTAAAATATTGAATTTAATCCAAAAAAATGCATCTCCATTTTAGGAAATATTTGGAAGTACTATGGAAATGGAAGGACTCTTACTCCTTAGTGAATAACTGTGTAAACAAGAGCAAGGGCATTTTTTGCAAGTATTTTTGTTTTGCATATGTGCAAGTATGTACAACAGTAAGCATGTGTATACTAGTACTTAAATAAATCTGCATTTTTATAAAATTGGAAATCTACCCTTGTAATTTTATGCCATTTATTGAGAAATTTTTGTTTCTGTTTTATTACAATGAGCAAAGCCAGGAGTGCTGGAAAGGCCTGTAAATTCACCACTTAGATTGCAGAAGTGGGAAAATTGCTGAAACTTTAAGGTTAATATGGTCTACATTGAGGTCTTTGTCAGCCAGGGCTATGTAATAAGACCTTATCAACAAAAAATAGGAAGGAAAAGAAAACAAAAATGAGTACTGTTACAGAAGAGTTTAACTAAACAAAATTTTAAAAATTAAACTAAAAACCATTATAGTTATATATAATTCTATCCAGGCCCAATAACGGAAATACGAGCACAAATGGTATCATGCTTTTTTAATTCATTAAAAACCTACTTTTTTCTTTTACAAATACAAAATTATGTAAACCTACATCATAGATCTTATAGTTTTCAGTTTTTCATTTGCTAGTAGGTCATGGTCATTTTATTTTATTTTTAGCAACTTCATAGTACTTGAATGGCTTCCGTACTTGTCCACTGTTAAAGCTAGAATTTTCTCTCATCTTTTCTATTAGAAATAGAAGAATAATGATAATCCTTGTATTTCTATCCATCCGCATTACTAACTAAAATATACATTACTCAGATTTGAATAAAATTCACAACAAAGCACATTTGTAATAGATTTGCCATGTGTATGTTTTTGGTAAAAGAGGCATTATTTAAGTACTATTTTAAAACTTCAATAAAATTTTGAGAAACAAGATATGAAATCTTCACTTTTTTTTCTATAGAGGAGCCCAGTGACATCATCCCTGATGAGACCAGGACGCAGAAGGATGAAGAGCACCAGGCAGTATCTGCAGATAATGTGGTATGTAGTTTGAAATTCTTTCCTTGTTAGAGGATGGACTTTAAGAACATTGTGCCAGTTGATGATAACATCTGTATTGTCAGAATAAAGTTTTGTTTCACTCTGTAAACTAAAGCAGAGCTTTTCCCCTATGAATTTAATATATCTTTCAGTGCTCAATAAGTAAAATTTAAACACTTTCTCATTTTTTTAACTTTAGGAGATTTCCAAGTATGAAAACCTAAAACTTAGTTCAAATATGACCTATTTTACATATAACAAGTTATTTTTCTTAAACACACTGATAAGGAAGCAGATTCATTTCATTTTGACAGATGGCGGAATTGAAGTGGAGTTTAGGTGGAGATTGTGGAGGAAGCCTTTGTTAGTACAAGTGCTGTATCGAAGAGTTTATCTGTTTAGACTGTACCTATCTATACTGTATTTGGAAACTTTTCTTTTCCCTGGTTAAATTCGACTCTGATAATTGCGTTCAAAATCACAGCAAAGAAAGAAAGATAATATTTTAAGAATTTGAATAGCAGCAGGAGCAGGCTGTGTGTGGATTAAACTGGATTGGAAAAAATGTAAGCATATAGTGATATTCCCTTAGCAGCTGTTTTAGCAGAATTTGTTTATATTTTGGCCCCACAAAATGATACAGAAATCAAGATAGTATTAAACAATGTCATACACAAAGAGAAATTCCATTCCATTTTCATTTTTGCTTTTGAATCAATATTCTATGCATGATTTTCCTTAAAATCGCACGTATAATGGATTTTTCTGTTCCAAAGTAGTTGTGATATCATAATTTATTGTAGCTTCTATCACAGACATTATTTCTTTGACCCTATAATTCTACACATCTATTTAATAAAAGCAGAACACATACAATATTTGGGCTCATATTTGTTAAATACCAACAATATCTAGCATTGTTTTCTACATCTAAAATAGAGTTTGGGGCTGCATTTCATTGAATTTTAATTCAACAGGCATGTTAAAAAATTAGGTTTGATTTTAAGGCAGGTTTTTTTTATCAAATGACTTATAATCATTGTTTTCCACAGTGAACTCTCCTAATATTTTAAATCTTACCAAAGATCTCCTTCTGCTCTAGATTTTAATTATAGTGTATTAAATATAAATAAGTATTTACAATTGAAATATCTTTTTCCCCAAAGATACGTTCACTTCTAGCCTGAATTTCTCTACATTGAATCTCCCCAGCAGCAGACAACTAAAAATAATAAATGAAGTCGTGGCATGGTATGACTCATAGTCACTTAGGCACCTAATTTTTCAAGAACAATTGATTTTCAGAGACAAAACTTCAGACTTTCAAAGGTTGATCTTCTCTGCCTGTAACTTTTGAGTGCCCCCAATTATTCATGAATGACAAATCCCAGAGACATATAAGACCCATTTATATGCACAACTCCATACAGCGGCTTTACTTAAATGCCTACCTCCATTTTTCCAGAATCAATCCAAACAGGTAGCAAATCTAAAAACCTTAGAACAAAAAGTATGAAGTGTAAAGTCTAGAGAAGGCTGATATGATTAAGACTCAACTTTATCCTGATTCTAATAGAAAACAAAGGATTAGACGCATCTCCACGCAGTGGTAGAAGGCAATTTCCCTGCAGCTGTCCCTGACTCACAGAAAGCAGGTCAGAAGCCCTGTGATGGTGTCATATCCTCAGCAGCAGTATATCAAGTACAATGATTCGAAGTTTGTTTGTGACTTTTAATCACATATATTTTAATCATATATATGGAAGATAGATATAATAAATATTCCCAGGTAGAAAGTCTAATTTCATATTCTGCCTACGACATGCTGCTGTTAATGTGCTTGTTCTTAAAATACTGACTACTGACTAAATCTGGTTTATCTTCCATCTTTTTTTCTTCATTTGTTTTTTATTAATTTATAAAAATTTCCACTTCCTCCCCTCCTCCCAATACTCTCCCACTCCCCCTACTCCCCCTCCTCCTCCCTCTCCAGTCCTAAGAGCAGTCAGGGTTTCCTGCCCTGTGGGAAGTTCAAGTTCCTCCTCCCTCCCTCCAGGTCTAGGAAGGTGAGCATCCAAACAGACTAGGATTCCAAAAAGCCAGTACATGCAGACAAAACAAGTCCCAGTGCCATTGTCAATGGCTTCTCAGACAGCCCCCATGTCAGTCACATTCAGAGAATCCGGTTTGATCATATGCTCGTTCAGTCCCAGTCCAGCTGGCCTTGGTGAGCTCTCATTAGATAAGTCCCCTTGTATCAGTGGGTGAACGCACTCCTTGCGGTCCTGACTTCCTTGTTCATGTTCTCCCTCCTTCTGCTCCTCATTTGGACCATGGGAGCTCAGTCCAGTGCTCCAATGTGGGTCTCTGTCTCAATCTCCTCATCAGACAAAGGTGTGATCTCCAAAATATATAAAGAACTCAAGAAACTAGACACTAAAACTCTAATTAACCCAATTAAAAAATGGGGTACTGAACTGAACAGAGAATTATCAACAAAAGAACTTCGAATGGCCAAAAGACACTTAAGGTCATGCTCAACATCCTTAGCCATCAGGGAAATGCAAATCAAAACCACTTTGAGATACCATCTTACACCTGTCAGAATAGCCAAACTCAAAAATACCAATGATAGCCTATGCTGGAGGGGATGTGGAGTGAGGGGAACACTCATCCATTGTTGGTGGGAATGCAAACTTGTGCAGCCACTGTGGAAATCAGTGTGGCGGTTTCTCAGGAAACTGGGAGTCAACCTCCCTCAGGACCCAGCAATTCCACTCTTGGGAATATACCCAAGAGATGCCCTAACATACTACAAAAGCATTTGTTCAACTATGTTCATAGCAGCACTATTTGTAATAGCCAGAACCTGGAAACAACCTAGGTGCCCCTCAATAGAAGAATGGTTAAAAAAGGTGTGGAACATATACACATTAGAGTTTGACTCAGCAGTAAAAAACAATGACATCTTGAATTTTGCATGCAAATGGATGGAAATAGAAAACGCTTTACTGAGTGAGGTAACCCAGACCCAAAAAGAGGAATATAGTATGTACTCATAAGTGGATTCTAGCCATAATTAAAGGTCTTTGAGCCTATAATTCGTGATCCTAGAGAAGCTAAATAAGAAGATGAACCTGAAGAAAATCATATAGTTATCCTCCTGGATATTGGAAGTAGACAAGACTGCCAGAACCTTCATCTGGCGATGGATGGAGATAGAGACAGAGACCCACATTGGAACACAGGACTTAACTCCCTAGGTCCAAATGAAAAGGAGAAGGAGGGAGAACGTGAGCAAGGATGTCAGGATCAGAGGGAACCTTTATCTTCCATCTTTTTAAACCTCACTTTTGGTTGGCAGTGTTTAAATGTTTTAAGGTGCAGTTTGTTTTTCCTTAACTTCGTTGTTTTACATGCAAAGGATAATATTTAAACTGATTTTATTGGGTTTTTTGCTTTATTTTTTAAAAGGTTTTCTTATTAAATAATTTGTTTTATCCTTCCGATTGGAGCTTATTGGTCATTCTTTTAATCAGCACTGAGAAGTATTGTTTACCTTTTGACAGATATTTACTTATTATCTATAGTATACAAGATACTTCACAAGCTTTGTTTGATGTGCCTTAATTCTGAAGCTAGGGGAACCTCTCTCTATCTCTGTCCTCTCCTTGCTTTCTTTGTTACTGTCCAATGAAGAAAACAAATCCCCATGCAATTTTCAGCATTCTATCATAGATGCCTGCTTCAATTGTCTAGCTAATGGAGCACATTAAATATGTGAATTTTTAGACCTTGTATTTTCCTTTGGGATACATGCCATATGTTGACATTTTCATTAGAAGGAAGGGTCATGTTGAGACAGTAAAGGAACCTCTTTCTACTGTGTGTGTGGGGGGGGGGAGATTAAAAACTAGTTCTTTATCCAAGAAGGGCTATATCAATCACCAATTAAAGACATAAGGGGTAACACAGACACGTCCTGTGTGAAACACTGAGAAGCCAATTATCAAGGTTTAATCCAAATAACCTAAATCTCTCTATCACCAAAACTAAATATTAAATAGGTATGTTGGACACATTGTGTGTAGTGATCTGATATATATTTGTAAAAGTTTATTTGCCTTTGTTACAGAAAATAGAAATTATCGATGATGAAGAAAGTGACATGATAAGCAATTCCGAGGTAGAACAAGTGAATTCTCTCCTGGATTATAAGGTAAAAGGAATTTCTAGTTCTGAACTCATTAATGGGAGCTATTGAGTGGAAAAGACTTATAGTGTCTCTGATTTTCCCATCTTACAGACTAGGAAATCTGGGCCTCTATCCTGATTATCTCAGGCAACTTGAAAATTGGTCAAAATGTTGGACATTTTAATACTGCTGGCTTGTTTGGTTGTTATGGTTTTTAAAAACAAGTGTTTACTGGCTTAAAAATTGGCATTGATTGTGTTCAACAAGTGGGAACAACACATAGTGGGGGTAAATGTGGAATTTATGATAAAGCTGAGAGAGGTGGTGGTGTGTACATGAAGTCCCAGGTATATGTGGTGATGAGGCAGGAGCATCTCTTTAACTTGGCAATTTAAAATCAGTCTGGACAACATTGAAAGACCCTGCCTCAAACAAAATAAACACAACAGTAACATGAACATGATAGGAAATGGGAGACTTTCTTATCCAGTGTCCATTGCTAATTTTATATTGGATTTCAGTTTCTTCCAAGACTGTCTTTAAGATTATACCTGATATCATTTTATAAGGATTTGAAAAACACTCCCAATGAAAATACAGGGTGAATATGAATAGAGATGACCTTTTCTTAATGCCACTTGTTACTAAATTGGAAGGCACCCTCTGATAGTGTGTCACGCATAATTTTGTTTTTACTCAATTTTGACATAAGCTATCAGTCTGTTTGTCAATTTGTTTTTTGTGTACAAGTGTTCTCCCCTTGTTACTCAGCAGCCTATCTTGCTAGGAAACTTTGGGCTTTCTGAAATTTTGGCACACAGTGCTTCTTTCTAAATACCAAGTTTCTTTTTGTGGAGTATAATCAGAATTTAAAGCTTATGATGGTAACAAAGACCACCATTTAATTAGAACACAGTTTTCACTTTCATCAAAAAAAAATCCTTGCAGTTTTAGACTAGTTTAACTGAATTTTAGACCATTGTATATTTTGTTTTCCTAATTTTCATAGCATTACTAGCTTTAAAATACTGAGTGTTATAGACACAGAGGGAAATTGTCTCTTGAAATTTATTTCTGAGTGCTCAAAGAACACAATAAAATTATATATTTAAACTACATTTATGTGTAGATATAGTAGGTCCTACTTGTTATCCCAGCACTCACCAGTCTGAGGCAGGAGGAGCTCCGTTATTTCAAGGCCAGCCTAGAATATATAATGTGATCTTAACTTAAAAATGAATAAATTTTCAATAAAAATAAACTGTATTCCCAACTAGCTGAATTATAAAGTTGCTGGTTTTCAGTTCGAAGAGATCATGCTAATAACTCCCCTGTGGTCATATAATACTTCTAACTACTGAGTTCAGGATTAAAATGACTTTGCAGACCAGGTCACTGCTTGGCATGGACTGTGGAAAGTGCAGGCGAGAGGACTGGATTGCACAGCTGCTAAGTGTGCCCCACTTAGCACTCCTGAACAGGTCAAACAGGGTTGGACTGAGACATAGAGGATTCTTTTCCAGGACCTCTCCTCTTTTCGGTGGAAGTTCACTTGAGAAAGTTTGCAGCTAAAGACCTGGAAGAGAAGAGCAAAATAGACAGTGAGGGCTTGCATTGAACTCTAATGGACAGTTTAGTAATCCAATGTTTTCCATTGTGGGAACAAGGGATCCCATAATGGGTCATTCTTCATAATCACCTCTATCACATTGAGGCATCTTTTCTTGAATTCTCAATATTTGTACACATATAGCGAAATTCTTTTTATCTATACATTATTTTCAAATGCTTCCATTTACCATCTGTGAAGTTTGTGCCTGGAGTTGCCATTGCATATTTTGAACATTGCTGTAGAACATATCAGTTTAGAAATTTAATACCTTGAATAAAGTTGCTGTACTCTATTTAAATAGGCACACTAGTGTTCTTTCTTTAGGGGTGAAAGTTATTTTTTTTCATTTCTAAAGTATATTCATAATAAGTTTCTTGAAGGCAGAAATGTATTTTAATCACCTATGTGTTACTTGGATGGGGAGCCTGGCACATAGATGTTTAGTAAGCAGTTGCTTAGAAAGTAATTGAATAAATTAATTTGTCTCTGGAAATAATTTTAATAGTCTCCCAAGTGTTTATTTGTATAAATTCAATTAGTATGAGAAGCTCCAGCATTTTAAAATTTACCACATTGAATTAATCTTCTGTGTTTGAAATTTATTATAACAAACTAAAAGAATGTTCTCTATAGTGCATTTTATTAATATAAAGTTCAGATGTTATAGCATTCTGATTGATATGTATCGGTAGAAATTCATATTTCTGGGGGTTCCAACTAATCCCAGATCCTTGTGAGGAAAAGCTGATGGACACAACACCTGTGGCATGAGTAACTATATCATAAAATAGGACATCAGGCATGGTAGCTGTTAATAGCCTTCCCAGAGATCAAAGCCCTGGCATATTTCAACCTTGTGTCTCACAGCAATCATCTTGCAAAATTATAAGCAGTTTGCTGGGAGTGTGGGGAAGGTTTTTTAGCAAAAATAAACTAGGCCTTATTTTGTAAAAGTCGGTGTCTGCTATTGTCTTATTAGTTGCTTTCCTAAGTACTCCATTGACTTAAGAAAATCTCTAACGCACACATAAATTACTGCCTGTAATCTAGGAAGCATTTAATAGGCTTGCAAAAAGCACTTCTGAGAAGAAAATGTCTACAATATTAAATTATCTTAAAGTTGTTTATGCTTTTCAAACATTTCATAAATACTGAAGAAGGGAAATATTTGCATGAAAAATTAGAGATCCTCATATGAAAAGATGCTTTCGTGACTTTTGCAAATATGAACTAATGTTTCTAAAATGTTTTCTGATGGACTATGAGTACAGCTCAGGCAGACCGAATGCAAATGAGTTGCCACTAAATAATGATAGATAGTGCCTGTATTCAAATGGCTTTCTGCCTAGTGTGCTGGTACACACCTGTACACCAAGAACTTAGGAAGTGGAGGCAGAAGGATCAGAAGTCAAGGGTACCTTCAACTGCACAGCAAGTTCAAGGATATCCTAGTTATATGAGATTGTGTCTCAAAGAAAATGAAATAGGAAAATAACAATTCAAAATCCTCAACAACAGCAAAAGCAAAATAAGGACTGGAAAGATGGCTGAATTGGTAAAGCGCTTGCTAAGCAAGCATGCAGACCCGAGTTTGCATTTCCAACACCCATGTGAAAAGCTTGGCCTGTGAAGCCTACTTGGAAGCCCAGTGCTGGAGAGGCAGAGACCAAGGGCTAACTGGACCTAGCGGAAGTAGCGGGCTTCAGGTTCAGCGAGAGACCCTGTTTCAGAAAAGAAGTTGGAGAGCAACTGAAGAAAATACTTGATAGCAACCTCTGACTTATACGCATGCATGCACACACATACACCCATTCACACACACACAGAGTGAGAAAGAAAGACTCACACATGCATATGTGCACACACATACCACACATACATGTACCACATATATGTGCATCAAATATGAAGCAAACAAAATAGGAGAAAGTCATTTTCTGGTCAGCATTTTATTAATACAAATCTCTGACAATGACTTTTAATAAAAGTAAAACCATATCATGGCAGAAGCATATTGAATTTCTTTAGAATGTTTAATTTTAACTTAGTTGTGTTAGTGACTGAAGAGAAATTTCACTCGGACAGATGTTTCATTTATTAAGTGGTCTGGAAGGAAGCAGTTTCATCACATAAATTAAGGTTTAAATTGAGCTAATAAGTGATATAGTAAACATGTTCACAGATTGGATGTGATTAGTACCACAACATCCACTTGACCGAAATTCTAAAATACCCATACAATCAACTAATTTTAATATATCTTTAGGAAACTTTTGGAACAAATGCTGTTTAAAGTCGTCCTGTACTCTGAGACCAGGTCTCCAGTAGAAAGAAGACTCTGTCCACTTCTACAGTTCTTGTCAAGGAGACTGATTGATGTTTGGTTTTATTTACTTTTATTTTTTCATAATGTATATTTCAATTGTAAATTGGCAAATTGTAGCTTTATATATTCATGAGGTACAAGGTTATGGTATGATATATGAATACAATGAAAAACAATTAAATCAACCTAATTAACATATCCATCACTTCAAATACTTATTTTCTATGGTAAGAACCTTAAGTTTTGCCTTTTCAATGATTGTGAGAATGTACATTATTTATAATCTTCTTCACATATACTATTAAACAAAAGTAATTATTTGCCATCTGTGGAAGCATAAATAGAATTTTAGAAGTGAAATAGGCCAGGTACAGAAACATAAGTATGACATTTTTTCACTTATATTTGGAATGTAAAACAATTGAACTCAAAGAAACAGGATAGAATGGTGGCCACCCAAGGCTGCATGGTGAAAGGATTGAGAGATGATTGATGGGCAAATGGTGCCAAGCTTCTATTAGATGAAAGGAATTAAGTTTCTTTTGTTTGGTTGGGATTTGAGTCAGCATCTCAGTATGTATCCCAAGCTGTCTTCAAACTCTTGAGTACTGGTATTACTAGGAATGTACCACAATATCCAGCTTAAATTTTATTAATGTTGTTATAATTATTATTAGAGATATTTTGTATGCTTTTATTTAATCCATGTACTATATTACATAACTTCCAAATAGTAAAAAAGTCTCCACAGTGAAATTCACCTCTTAAATTTAATGTACAATTAAATGAATTTGACAATATTTTTATTCATTGATGGTTCAATTACTTTTCTCATTGCTGTAGTCAAATACCAGACAAGAAGCAATTTAACGGAAGGTTTTGTTTGGGAACTTTCCAAGTTCAAAGGAATCCAGCCTCTTAGGGCAAGAAAGGTATGAGGGCAGAAGTGTGAGGTGTTTGGTCACATTGCATCCACAAGCAGATAGAAGACCGGAAGTTATCACACATTAAGGCCGGTCACCAGTGACTCGCATCTTCTAATTGAGTTTGATATAGGAAAGTTGTTTCCAAGAAGATAAGTCTTTCTTGTTTTTCTCTTCCTGGAATCTATTTGTAAATTGTTTTCTATTGATGGTTTGTTTAAACGGCAACCTTTGAATACCAGGATAATTTCCCGCTGTATTTTATAGCTGTATTTTATATTCTTTTATGGTTAAAATTGCTTTTCTTTATTGTTTCTTTACTCTGATTGCTTTTTCGTTTTCTTATTCATCAAACACACAGAGGCTTGAGTTTACATGGGGTAATTTTATTGTTTGGTGTTTTCTCCTTTAGAATGAAGAAGTCAGATTCATTGAAAATGAGCTTGAGATTCAAAAACAAAAGTACTTTAAGCTTCAGACTTTTGTTAGAAACCTGATTCTGGCTATGAAAACTGATGATAAGGAACAACAGCAGGTAAGTCCCGTGAGAGACCAGTAAGCCACAATGTGTCAAGTTGAAAAATGGCATGTCATATTTGGACACTTCATATCTCTTCACTTGTATTCTCCATTCGGGCTTGGAGTTTCATGGAGCAAATGGTTCTTTTTATGATCTTTTAAAACACAGTTTTCTTAAGAATAGGTGTTCAGAGTTTTTTATATACTAATAGAGGTACAAAGTCAAAATAGCTAATTAGAATATTTTCTTAATTTCAGAACAGCCTTTAAGTTGAAAAAAACAAATTTTAAAATTTATTTAAAAGAATTCCTCAAAAATGTTGTAGAGATGGAGCTATCTCAACCCATAAGCAGATAGCATGTTTGGGAAACTTTTTCTGAATAAAAATGTAGGTATTTCTTTATCCAGTAGCAGCTGCTGGAGCTCACAAGTGTTTGGACAGTCTGTTCTATGATGTGTTGCTTCTCACCAAGAAAGCATAAAATTATTTGTGAAATTCTTTGTGACCATAGTGTATAATATTTTGCAATGTAAGTAAAAATGTTTGAGACCTCCACTCCAAAAATGAAATGGCTTGTTTTTGCTATGGATATTTGTTTATAGATTCCTTCCAAATTGCATTTAACCCTCAGGTTTTTCTATATATACATGTAGTCTCAAGAAAAGCCTGATGTATAGTTTCAAGACTATATAAATATAGTCTCAAGAAAAACCTGATATATATATACATTCATTTAGCCTAATATAAAATATTATGTTTAACACAAAATGATGCCAAATTTGCTGCAAAGTTATTTATCACTAGGCTAATTCCTTATAAGAAAAGTTCTATGTGAGTAGTATGAGATACAGGTAACTATAATTTAGTAAATAATCTTAGAAGATTTTATTCAGCAAAAATTGTCAAAAATAAAATCACTGATGTCTTATACTCCAAGAAGGTTATACATATATAGCCTGTCTCCGACATTTCCAGGGAAAACGTTAATGTCTGAACATCCCATAATTCTCCTTTCTTACAAAGAACAAGGTCTCCATATATATATAACTGATATACTGAGCTACAAAATTTAAAATAGGAGAGTCCATTCATGGGACTAAAGCCAGCATGAGTACTATTTGCTCACATTTATGAATTTTACTCTTTCAACTCTGATGATACATGGAGAGCACAATACGAAAGACTTTACTTGCCTTGGATAACTTTATTTAAGTGTATTGCTTTATCATGCATGGTTTGCACATTTCAAGGCATATTGAAAATTTGTAAATAGGCTAGGTAGTGTGACTTATGCCATCCCTCAAGCACTAGTAAAACTTAGGTAGTGGAACTGTTGTGAGTTCGAGTTCCGCTTGGCGATAAACTAAGACCTTACCTTAAAACAAGCAAAGGACAGCAAAAAAAAAATATGTTTGACTTATATGAACCTAAAACACAGATTTTTAAATGAATAAGAGGAATAGTATTGAACACAATTTCAATAGAATCATAGATTTCAAATAACTGTAGAACACATACCATACACACACACACACACACACACACACACACACACACACACACACACACACAAACAAACAGCTCCAACTTTAGAAGTTTTTTTTCTCTGAAAAATCTAATATCAATTTTGAATTCACTTCCATAACCAGTTAACTAGTAAATGCCTTTGTTTCTTGACATCTGAAAATAGCTCATAAACTGACTATCTAGTTCTAACTTCAGTTTTGCTTTGGTTCTTTCTTGAGCTCTACATTTTTCTCTGTGCCCCTCCCTGCCTCTTCCCTCTCCTTCAATCCTCCCCCAAGGTCCCCATGCTCCCAATTCACATAGGAGATCTTGTCTTTCCCAATGATTACTAACAAATAAGAAAAGTAACTAACATGCATTTGTTTTTCCTTTTCTAGTTTTCTTCTGATAAAAGACTACTGAAGTAAGACATGAACACAGTGTGGGCTAAAGTAGAGAATGATACAAAAATAACACTAAATGCCACAGCCTATAGAATCAGCAGCTTAAATAGTACCTGTGATTTTTTTTGATGCTCAAGATTGAGTATAATGATTTTTAAAATACATTCCCTAAGCATAAATAACACTGGGTATGGTGATGATACACACCTGTAATTACTTGGAAATTTAAAGCAGAAAGGTCATGTGTACAGCCTGAACTCTGCCTCTAACACAGAAAACTAATGATTTATACTTACGATTACATATATGATACTAGTAGTGATTCACAAAAGTAATCCAAGTTTTCTCTTAAGCTAATAATGTTCAAGCTTTGAAATATTCAGAAGTTTATTACTGGAAATATATTATATTCGACCTAGTAAAACAGAGAGATTTGCCATTACTTTCTTATTTTTAAAAAATATACAGTATTTCTTTCATTAATCTTGACATGGATAAGTTGAATGAGATGAGCGATCTAGGTACTATTTTGCCCAAATAAAGAAGTCCAGGGTTTAAAAAATAGATATGGTGCTTTCTTACTGAAACATTAGATTACCTAAAGGTTGTCTTTTTTAAATCAATAATAGCCATTTTAACATCCAGATAATGTTGCCAACATTGCTCTAAGTCATTAGTTATAGTCTTTCTTCCCCTGATAATTCACTGTGTGATCCTAGCCAGATCGATTGCCTTTCTTAAACTTCAATTTCTCCACTCTGCAAGGAGGATAAGGATGATTATCAATTTTACATTCACATCTTACAGCCTAGAATAAGTATTACAGACACTGAGCGTATATTTGGGGAAAGTGTTAATGATCTCTTGGGAAAAAATGACACTTGGTCAGACCTTGAAAATAGTTGTTACTGATGAGGAACATATAATAAAAAATATTGAGGCTGTAGAAGTGAGTCATTGTCAGAGTGTTTTTTCCAGAGTAAATTAGATCCTGGGTTCAATCTGCTACACGGGGGATGGGAGAATAGAGGAAATTTAATTGTGCTTACTTATATCTCTGTGAAAAAGGCAATTCTAATCATCAGCAGAGACTTGTTTAATGCCACGATATTGCAGTTCAGTAAGATATTGAAAGAATTTTGAGGTGGAATCTATGCATCAATAATGTTATGAACTACCTCATTTATTGAACGTTTTAAATTCTATTCTTATTTTAGTCAGTCAACTATATGCAATACAACAAAGAAAAAAATAGCAATGTTTTTCCAGTTTGCACATCTCTCCTCTTGAATTTACAGTATGAAATTTTCTAATCCACTTGACTTTCCCATATGCAAAGCTCATGGTCAATGAGTGACAATTTGAACCCCTTTCCATTCTTAATATGGTATGTTCAAATCTGTAGAGCAAGCTCAATCTACTGATTGATGTACCCACTCACATTCTGAACAGCCAACATTAGCAAAGGCCCCATTGTGCCTGAACTGGATCAGCAGTAGCTTACTGTTCTAGTAGAAAATGGCGTGTGCCATATTACTGTAGCTTAGTACCTCAGAAAGCATGTGGTATCTTTATGGTACGTTCATATGGAAGTGCACTTAGTTTCAGCAAGAAATCTATGGGTAATTTAGTGGTACAAAATAAATAATAACTTTCTCCACATATAAGTTATTCATTGCATAGCCTGACAAAAAATAAAATGTTTTCTTGTCATTTGTGTGCTGCAAGGCAAAAATTAAAGAATGTGTAACTCACTATTTTATTGAGAAGAATCATGTCTTATTTTGTCAGTGTATTTTTCCCCAGCATACCCCGTCTTTTCCTTCCTTAATTGGACAATGACCAGCTTACATTTGTTAGTATTGCCTTGGTTCTTTTTTACTAATACTCCCAAAACCCATGAAACAAGTAATGCTATTGAAAATTTTCCAGACAGACTATGCTGTTTTACTTTTGATATCTTAAAGTTAAATGGGCATGAGCACTGTCAAGCACATAAATCTTGACTGTTTATTTCTCCAGTGTAGATACATGTTCTACAAATACAGATGGAACAATTAGAACATGGCCAAGCCTAGCTCAAGAATGTTGGCATATCCTAATTGTCACAGCAAGGAAATGAGAAGATAGATACTTTGTTACAACAGCCATAATCCTATATTGAACATACCCTGCTAGGTGCTTCGTCACCTATATGGACATAGTCTAAGAAAAAAAAACAAACAAAAATCTCACATGATTGTTTCAAATTGTTAAACTTTTATCTAAAGTGCAATAGAAGAGTTTCCCGCCAATTGCTAAATTCATTCTTTTAACAAAGAACAAAATAGATCTTTGTTGAAATGTGGTTTCATTAAAAGATAATATAGCTAGGCATGACTTTTAATTAAAGAATGAAATTTTAAAGCCCTTTAGCAGTGAGCAGTGAACACACAAAACTAGTATGAAAACCACTTACTGCAACCGTTTAAAAGCCTTTGGTTAAAAAAATCCTTGGTTTGGGATAGTTGCTTATGGCGTCACCCATGCCACTCTGAACCACTCTGACGGCTGCAGGTCTCACCAGAATGCATGCTCATTTCCCTCTTGATTTCTCCTTTGTTTAAGATTCTAATCCACATAGTCCACATACTTGGCATCTAATATTTAGTTCTTTCATAGCATTATGCGAAAACTTACTGTTTTAGATAAGGAATTAATTGTGTAAGATCCTTAAAAATAAGTGTTCCTGAAAAGTATTTTGATAGGACTTTTCATTTTATAAATACACTGAATTAACCTAAATAAATAAATAGATGTTTCTTTAAATACATAGGAGTAAATTAAAACAAGAGAATTACAACTATTAACATAAAGTTGGAAAAATATCTGTCTGCATACTAATCCAAAACAATTGATTTTTTTCTGATAAGGCACTGCTGTCAGATTTACCTCCTGAATTAGAAGAGATGGATTTCAGTCACGCCTCACCGGATCCTGATGATACCTCATACAGTGTGTCTTCGTTATCAGAGAAAAATGCCTCGGACAGTTTGTGATTGGGGGTGGGGGATATGATGTATTCTGTTGGTTGCCTAACAGGTGTGCATTTCAAGATAACTATATTTTTCCCCAATAATCTTCAACTGGAAAAACACATTGTTAAAACAGGCATATTCTGTGAAGGAAGGACAAGAAATAATGGCTACAATAAAAATGCATGTCAAATGTAAAAATACTTGAAATGTGTTTTTAAAACTTCTACAAAATCCTAGAAAAAATATATTTAATTTTAAGCAATTCAGCCATGAAATCTATTATATCTGATTTTCGAAAGATTTTTTGCTTATTCTTTAAGAAGAATCTTAGTAGTAGTTTCAACCAGAGACATAAAAATAATCATATTTCAACATTACTGGGTTGCTAAAGCTTTATTAGTCTTACTTTTGTAGCCATTGCAGTTTCCTTCTCCTCTCATTTTCTTATCATCCATATACATTTGTACTCAGGAAAGTGGGCTGAAAATTAAAAAACAAAACCTAAATGTATGTTTAACCTAGATGAATTCTGGGATTTATTTTCAACTCCTATGAGAATTTGACCTAAGATAATGGTTAGAAATTGAAGCAATTTCTAGAATGTAATTTGAGTTTTTGGTATTCTTCTGTCTAACCCTAAAACTGGGGAGAGTGGAAAATACTCTGGAAAGTAAATTCACCAACAAAAGCCAAAACATTTAAGTATACCAAAACGGTATTTTATAAAAGACAGTTTTAATCTCAATTCTTGCATACTGAAAATGATCAGTATTAATGATTTGCAATCTACTATATAGTAAATTTATGTAAGTCAGTTAGAGAAAATATTGCACAAATACTTCAAGCTTACCAATAATTTCATAATATTCTTTCACAGCATGAATTTTGTGAAGCAGGAAATCAAAGTATGCCACTGATATTGGTTTTCTTTTGTATTCTAGTCACACAACTTTGCCACAAAATTTACCTCACTTCCATATGAGGCCTGTACAGAGCCATCAGCCAACAACAATATCAAAAAGAGTTATACTACTTTGATTGTAAATTAAAGCCCTCTGAATTTCCTGGATGCTATTCTATGAACACCCAGTTGTTACTGTTAGTAGGAACCAGATGGTAGCACACTATAGACATCTCTTTGCAGATCTTTCCTTCCAGAATACCAGATGGGAATACTAAGATTCGTAAATAGGAAAATACTAGTTTCTCCCTAAGCTCACTGTCATATATTTGTGACCTGGTTTGTGGAACTAAATTACATGATTGAATTATTATCTAATCCTGAAAGATGAGTGAAGCAGCTAGATAACTGTTCTAGTTGTCAAGCTTTAGATGTTTTTAAGTTTTGTAACTGTGACTAATTCTGATCTCAGTATTCGCTGATACCAATTTAGGAATGCAGAAAGGCAGTCACAAATGCCTTTAATTTAGAAATGTCCCTTCTCCCCAATATGTACAAGTAAAGTTCATTGATGGTCGTTCAGTTTATCAACTATTTGATTTCACATTGCTTCCACACAGCTTCCATGGCTTCTTTGTCAGCAGAAATATCTCAGTAGTCAGCTACATGCCCTTTAGCTGATGGTCATGTGGTTCTTTGCAAACAACTTTTGGTATTCCTTGCTGACAAATCAAATTCCATTCAGGGAAAAGACCATTGAGCAACAGAACCTCAAACATTCTGGTTAAGTTTTTCAGTCACATAAGTTAATCCAGGAGATAAAGAGTCCGCCCCCCCCCCCCCCCCCGTATACAAAAAAATACAGAAACCATTATTTTGTGATATGGAGGATTTAGACAAGGTCTCCTGTAGCCCAGGCCAGCCTTTAATTCCCAATGTAGCTGAGGATGCTTTGAATCCTGCTGCTCCTGCTTCCGTTTCTGAAACTCTAGGATGACAGCTATATTTCACCATTAGATTCTTTTCAGTTTCTTTTAGCTTCACCATTCTATTTCTTTTCATATGAACAAATTTCTGGGGTTGGATGTGCTATGGTTATACTCCATGAGTTCCTATTGTGAGCAAATTTCTAGTCTCAAATCTCTACTACAGTCTTCTTCAGTATGGTTGAGTTTGTCTTTAAACTTAAACTGCTTGAGTTTAAAACTCTTCTTAGTCGGTCGTCATTGCAGAGTGAGTCTTTCCTATGTGCTTTAACAATTCATAATTTTATTTTTTACACTTAAAGATTTGTCACTAAATAAAAGAAAACATTCATGGCGCTCTTACTATAGAAAAGACACTGAATCAGACAGTGGATTTCTTATCAATCTATGGATTACAAAAAGAATGATTTCAGCTAAGTACAATGGCACAACACTGATACCTCACATTGGGTAGGCTGAGAAAAGCTGGACTTCAAAATACAAAGAAATGTTTCCCTATCAACCTTTTCATGGATATTAATAAAAAATGTTCAACTATCAGTTGTAACTGATTTAAAATTTTTAATAGATTTGATACTTAGAAAGAATGGTATATCTATAATTTTGGGAAGACACATAAATTATACTTTTATTCCTAAAGTTTCATTAACCTAGAAGCTATATGTCCTAACAGTCCACTTAGGACTACTTTTATCCTGGTGTTTTCCTCTCAGCCACAGAATTATATCTTTTATGAACATAGGAATTAAAACATTTAAAAATATTAATTGGGATATTCTATGGCCGTACCCAGAGGAAATAGTTGCAGCAGTGGAAAAAACAACCATATTTTGGCAGATTGAATACATAACACAGACTTTGAAGAAGATCAAGTATTAAAAAATACTATTATAAAACTGGGGAGCTAGCTTGACACTTGCACAGGGCTTCAGGTTCAATCCCAAGTACTTCAGGAGGACAAATATGAAGCTACTATAATGGAAACATATTTCACATACATTTTTCATGTACATGTTTGGTTTTGAGATTTTTTTAAAATAAGAAAAATGACTTTTTGACTGTTTTCATGAATGTATCTGTGGATCACAGTGAAAATCAACTAAGTAGTATTTCTTTCTTTAGGGCTTTGACAATATTAGAGCATATTATACTATCAGAAGTATCATTCAGAGAAGCAAATGTAAATGTTTTTTTTTCCTACTGAAATGCATTTAAATGTTTACTTTAAGCTTAGGATACTAAGCAATTTGTAAGCACATAATGTATATCTGAGAGCACTTACTTTCTAAAATGTGAGTTAAAAACAAACCCTGAAACAACAATAACAACAAAAAGAAGGCACCTTCCTCACTCAACCAAGCTAAAATTAGTTAGAAGAAAATGAGAATTGCAGTTGCCCTGGAGAATAGGAAAATTAACACATGCAAAGAAAATGTTAAAGGAAAATTGGCCTGTTTAGAGAACCTGGGGGATGTTTTATTGTAAGGTCAACTATCAACAGGACTTTTACACTGCAACTGTAATCAGTGATAGAAATGTTTGTTACTATTGGAGATAAACGGCTCTGGCCCAGTCATATCCTGTGTTCAGTATACAGTTAATACCCAGACCTCAAAAGATGACCAAGAGTTCATTTTTGCAAAGACAGAAACATCTACTTTTAAGGCCCTTATATTAGGCAGTCTTATCAGTTTGTAAGAGAAGAGCTAAGTGGTAGATATAAACAGACACTGGATGATAAAAATGACTAGCTTCCTTTGGGGGGGGGTCAGCCCCTGCTCTTAGCCTGGTTGTAATCACCTTTGAAAGAAATTCTAAAATCTTTATCTGCTGCCTTTTATCCATGAGGTAGTGATAAAATGCCAGGAATGGTGTGACCTTATAGTCAATTTTCTTTTTATTCAAATTCCCAAAATTAAAAAAAAGTATTGTTCTTTGAAGAGTTACCATTGCTGTGTATCAAACTGATAGTTAATTTCTTTCTGAAGTTGTGTTAACCTTAACAGATATCACTGTGCCACGCCCGTCACCAAGCTATGCTTTGTAATACTCTAATGAAATAGCCTACTAACTTGTGAACCTGCAGTTGACATAAACAAATCTTTATTAAGAACACATTTGCCAAGGGGGAAAGAAAAAAGAAATATTTTCATGTTGATATAATTATGATTGTTTCATTAAATTGTATACGGGGTATATATTGTTCCTCATTGAAATTTTATTTTGCATTAACATACTGAGTAATCCCTTCTAGCAATCCTGCATCCCATTTTACTGGTACTACCTCTGAAGCATATTATCTCTTTAAAACCATATCAGATTGTAATGTGAATTTTTGTAGAGTTTTTATTTAAACTTTTATAGAGTCAATAAATGATTTCCAACTAACAGACCTCCTTTAAGGTTCATTTTTCTTTGCATTGTGCTTTTCTTCTTAAAAGTGAATTATTTTTTTTCTCAAATAAGGTTCTAAAAAGGAGAGAAACAATAAGGTGTTTGGATTTCACAGAATATTTAAGCGAAAATTTGCTTAACATCTCAAGCTCACATGCATATCATTCTAATGAGCTTTATGTAGATAAGTACAAAGTCAGAACCAATAGATGAAGTGAATGTGCTCTAACAGGCAACAGGTTTGCCCCCAATAGTGTGTCTAACTTTTCTTGTCTCCCTTTGACACTAATTTGGCATGCTTTGAATTTGGATGAAATACACCTATGACTCCTTTGTTAAAGCCTGGTACCAATTAAAACTATGTTGCCTAACTACTGGAGAAACAGAGGAGGGCAAAGTGTGAGTTTGTAGTAGCACATACACAGCTTTCCTTCTCAGCAGATAAATTTTTAAAACTGTTGTAAGAAGAAATGTCACACAAAACATTAACTTCAAATGACTCGGGTCCTTCCAAGATCTGAAAAAGAATTAAGATAGTAAAATTTTTTGATTTCATAAAAATGAATGAAAATCATTATATATTTCTTTAAAAGACAAATTTGTGGCTAAATATGTTCATAAAACTGGGAGATATTTTTCACATTTTTTGAAGCTAAAGGAGTTTTAACATTTTTGTTATTATCTTGTTTATAAAAACAGACTTTGTTTTTAACTTTCATTTTATGTACATGTATGTTTTGCCTATTTGTATGCCTGTGTAGAGCACATACACTTGGTACTCACAGAGGTCAGAAGGTGTCAGATTTTTCTGGAACTGGAGTTTAGGTGCTTGTGAGCTACCATGTAGATGCTGAGAATCAAAGCAAAGTCCTCTGAAAGAGCAGCAGGTACTCTTAACTGCTGAGCCATCTCTTTAGCTGTTGCCTTGTTTTTGAGACAGGATCTTTGCTTTATTGTCCTGGCGAGGCTCAAACTTGTAGCAATCCTGGTATTTGTTCTCTCAAATTCTCGTACTATGGGAACACAACCATGTCCAGCTCAAATGTAATAGAAATTGTAGGGATGAAAACATAAAGTGTTATACCTTTAGAAATACTTATTATTTCAAGCTATTAAGAAGCTATCTCTGTCCATGTTTCTGATAATGTTGGGCGTTGTATTAATATTGTTTGTTTGGTTAAATTGTATAGCTCACAGCTCTAATACCTAGGAGCCAACTTTGAATATCATTTAAATATTTTTATACAAGAAAAAAATCCCTCTACTATAACGTTTTAGGGTCATAATGTGTTATGTGTAAAGGGGCCCTTGTTCGTCCCAGCTGCCTGGCTTGCTTACACCTGAAATAACCACACAGAAACTGTATTAATTTAAACACTGCTTGACCATTAGCTGTAAATTCTTATTGGCTAACTCTTACATATTAGTTTAACCCATCTCCATTAATCTGTGTATCGCCACATGGCTGTGGCTTACCAGCAAGATTCTAACCATCATCCTTCTGAGGCAGAAGATCCATGGCTTCTCTGACTCTGTCCTTCTTCCTCCCAGCATTCAGTTCTGTTTTCTCTGAGTACCTAAGTTCCACCCTATCGACTAGGCCAAGGCAGTTTCTTTATTTATTAATCAATGAAAGCAACACATAAACAGAAGGAACTCCTATACCAATAATGTACTTCTATTCAGGTCTTGTCTTATAGTCTGTCACTAATAACATAGGATCACTAGGCAATATAGTCAATCTTTTGTTACTTCAATCAATAAAATGTTGGATGTTGAGAAGACTCTCTTATATATTCTTTTCTACTACATTCCTCTGTGGAAAGTTTATTAGTTGTCATTCTATGGAGATAGTTTACGATAATGTAGTCATCCCTGTCCAAAGGTAAAGGTTCCTATCTGACATTTATATAATGGTATTTGTTTAATTAACTGCATTCTCTACACTATTTGACTCAAGGGCCAGTGTTCTGAGAGATAGATAGTTGGGGTAGTTAGTGGTTAAAACTGAAGATGCTTGAATAAAGATCCCCTAAAAAGTCTTGATAAAATCATTGTAATAGATGACAGTAAGACAGTGAATGAGGGGCACAAGAGCGAGAAGAATTTCAGATGCTGAATCAACAGTGTGGATAATGCTTCATAGCTAAAATTGAATACATGTTTGGAGTAGATATTAGAGGAATTAAGATGTGAGGATGTAGGGCTTCAGAGGTGGCTCAGCTGTTAAAAGCATGTACTACTCTTGCAGAAGACTGGGATTTGGCCACACACTGGATGGATTATAACCATCTGTAACTCTAGCTGTAGGAGATTTGATAAGCTCTTTGAACTCTGTGGGTAACCTGTACACATGTGTACACATTTCCAAACATACACACAATTTAAAACAGTGTAAAAGGCTAGAAACATGGCTTTGTGGTTAAGAGTACTGGTTCTTATCTATCACCATGCACAAAACTCAAGTCCAAATGGATCAAAGACCTTAACATAAAGCCAGCCACACTGAACCTCATAGAAGATAAAGTGGGAAGTACACTTGAATGCATTGGCACAGGAGACCACTTCCTAAATATAACCCCAGTAGCACAGACACTGAGAGAAACAATTAATAAATGGGACCTCCTGAAACTGAAAAGCTTCTGTAAAGCAAAGGACATGGTCAACAAGACAAAATGACAGCCTACAGAATGGGAAAAGATCTTCACTAACCCCACAGCAGACAGAGGTCTGATCTCCAAAATATACAAAGAACTCAAGAAATTTGTCATCAAAAGAACAAATAATCCAATAAAAAATGGAGTACAGTCCTAAACAGAGAACTCTCAGCAGAGGAATCTAAAATGGCTGAAAGACACTTAAGGAAATATTCAACATCCCTAGTCATCAGAGAAATGCAAATCAAAATAACTCTGAGATTGCTTCTTACACCAAGAATGGCCAAGGTCAAAAACACTGATAACAACTTATGCTGGAGAGGCTGTGGGTTAAAGAGAACACTCCTGCATTGCTGGTATAGCCCCTTTGGGTGTCAGTGTGGCGATTTCTTAGAAAATTAGGAAACAACCTTCCTCAAGACCCAGTAATATTACTTTGAGGTATATATCCAAAGGATGCTCAATTGTGCCACAAAGATATGTGCTCAACTATGTTCATAGCAGCATTATTTGTCATAGCCAGAACCTGGAAACAACCTAAATGCCCATCGACTGAAGAATGGATAAAGAAAATGTAGCACATTTCCACAATGGAGTACTACACTGCAGAAAAAAAATAACTACATCTTGAATTTTTCAGGCAAATGGATGGAGCTAGAAAACATAATTTTCAGTGAGGTAACCCAGACAGAGACAATTATCACATGTGCTCACTCATAAGTGGTTTTTAAACATAAAGCAAAGAAAATCAGCCCATAAATCACAATCCCAGAGAACCTAGACAACAATGAGGACCCTAGAAGAAACATACATAGATCTAATCTACATGGGAAGTAGAAAAAGGCAAGATCTCCTGAGTAAATTGGGAGCATGGGAACCTTGGAAGAGGGAAGAAGGGGAGGGGAGAGGCAAGGAGGGGAGCAGAAAAAAATGTAGAACTCAATAAAAAATTTTAAAAAAAGGAGTACTTGTTCTTGCAGAGGACCTAGATCCCATTCCTAGCACCTACATGGTAGCTCACCATCATCGTAACTCTAGTTCTGGGTATCTAACACCTTCTAGTTATTGTAGGCTCCTGCATGCATGTGGTGCACATAAATTCTCAAAAGCTAATATTCAAACATATAATAAATAAATAATCTTTAAAAATAAAATTTCAATACAGAGGTTATAAGTTGTTTGAACTGTCTGTAAAGAAGACAGCATAATGATAGTATGTAAGTAGTAATGAGAATGTGATAACCTATCATATAGTACTTAGCACATGCCTCATACACAGAAAATATTTAGGATGTTAGTCAACACAAATATTTTTGCTTCTCAAAAACAGAGAGACAGAAATAAAGGACAACTATGACCTAATAATTTGGCCTTGTGTAGAAATGATTCTAAGAACAATTGGAAAACTTCACCTACATATAGAATCTCACGAGTGCAGGTGTCCCACTCAAAAGGCAGCATGGTTCTGTTAGAGGGCCCTCCGTGGTCTCCTTACATCTAGCAGCTAGGAACAGGGTAAATGGGCTTCTTGCTTTGCACTGAATGAAGTATTGGTGCCTTGTAACATATTTCCTCCACTTTTACTGCTCTGTTATCTATGGGTAACTGTACACTTTTGATAAAATTGCATGAATCAGACTCACTGTAGAAAAGCTATTTCTTTAAAATTTCATTTTATCAAATGTTAGTCTCTAATTTAATGCATGTACAAGTGCTGGTGAATTTCTGAAACTGATTTTTTAAATGACCTACAGAAATTGGAGTGCAGTTGTTTTGTTATACTTTGTTATGTTTCCTACTGAGTAAATTTTACCCAGTTATTACTGGTTCTAAAGCAGAGTAGCATACTTTGTTCAGCATGTTTTATTTCTCATGGGCATCTGCATCATTGTTTTTCTAACTGCATGTTTGACACGCTCTTCTCCTTTCTAGTTTATTCATAAACCCACATTTTGCTCTCTAAATGTGTTCTTTCTTATTGCATATCATTTCAAATAGTTACTTCAGCCCTGTATGAAGATTTGTACAACCTGTTATCCCCTCTGATGCAGTGGGTCAGAGGAAAGGGTCACTTGCAAAGCCTGTTTAGTGTACACAAAACTATTTTTTCTAGACATAAAAGAGGCTCTGGACAAACTAAATACTTTAAGGGATTTATTCTTATTCAATCTCAGGACTTTTGTGTCTTCTATTTTCAGATAATTATCAGATCTTAATTGGAAAAACAATAACAAAAGGCTAAGGACCCCCAAGTTCATTCAAAATAAACATTGATCTAGTTGAATACAAATGATCACTAAAAAACAGAAAGGAAAATAAGTG